AGACATGTAAAGAAGCACGGAAAGGCAGGCTTCCAAGCCTGGTCACAGCGGACGATGAAGGAGATGAGGCTCACAGCACCTGGCCGGGCGGAAGAGCAGCTGTCGTGTTATCGTGGCATTTGCGGCGCAACTCCCGGACAGACGAAAACAGAGCAGCAGTTGCCAGCGACGTCATTGTCCGTCAGCTCCATGAGCATGAGTCCTTCATGCGAGCCAATGCAAAGCAGGCTACGAACAGAACCAAATGGTTCCTGCACTGACTCTTGCTACCTGTCCACCCGATGCACTCCGAGACCCTCCCTGGCCTGTCAAACTGTCACCGAAGATGGCGAAAAGCACCTTCCACTGGTCGAGGACAGCTTCATATGCTGTGACAACAGCGAGCTTGCGCTCCCAGCAAAAGCGCCGTCTGCTTTTTATGTCGGAACGGGTGAAGCAAAATCTATTCGTTAACAACAAAACCACATGGCTGGGGCCTGCCCTCGCAGGTCCTGGCAAGATGCTGGGCCCTAGCGGCCCGGCTCTTTGCACTAACTTCCACAGGCAGACTATGTCTAAGCCCGGTAATTCAACAGGCATGGATTCCCTGCAGACCTGTGAAACTCTTACGACGTCTTCGCCCTCTTTTCAGGAGGCTCGCTCTTCTTCAAGGCCCAGTCCTTCTCTGCGCGCTGGCAACACGTGAGCTACAGCGCTACCAGCACGGCCAGGGCCCGGACGTAGTAACGGCGGAAGGTTGAGCCTAGGAAGTCACCGAAGTTTTGTCCCGGCCTGAGACGATGACGTGCGCTTCTCATCAGGAGCTTCCAGAAGCCCGCTTGTGCCAAGTTACTCCCACCGTTCTCCCAGAGGAGGTACTTTGGAGGAAAGGCCTTTCCAGCCCCAAGGCAGAACAAACACATAGCGAATGCAAGATCCTGAAAGAAACTCCGACATGGTGCACTGCAGCCTCTCGCCAGGACCTCCTCGCGGGACACACCCTCTGGTATCCTGAAGCAGAGCGGCAGCTTGCGGGCAGCAAAGTAAAGCTGCACCCCACGCTCGTGCCAAGTTGCCTCAGCTCGAAAGATGGATGTGTGTCCACGAAGCACGGACAGCTGATTCTTGCAACCTTCGGCAACTTCACGTCAGCAGGAAACCCGGTGATATCTCCACAGCCAGCCTTGCGGCCGTTCGCGTACTCTGGACGACAACCTCGTACACAGTGCGGGGTCGCCACAAACTCTCCGGCAGTCACGACCTCAAAGGGTTTCTAGAGAGCAGCGTCCCGTTCTGTCATATGCAGTCCCCGACGAGGTAACACGTGGCTGCAAAGCAAGATTCTCTTGAGCTGTGGCCCGGGGCCAGGACCTGTGTACACTCGCCCACTTGGATTGCCATGCAGTCCCGAGGAATGCGCACACGGATTGCCTGCGATTTTATGCGACATGAGTGTCTGTCTACGACTGAACCAAGGTCTCAGGCGAGCACGCTGCCGTCGCGATCGACAACCCATAATCCAGCTCCTTCTGGATCAGGGTTCGGAATCATCTCTCCCTCAGACAGCACAAGCGATGTCATGTGCTGCCACTGGATGATGTTGGATGCCTTGCTGCTGAGTGCTACACGTCCTTATCATCTACCTCAGACTTGCTGTCATACAGACACCATAAGCGTCGAAGCTCCGTGCCAGACACCTCTCTGTCACCATCTGTCTCGGCTTCAATCACGGCATCTTGCGCATGCGGCCAGCATTTGGCCAGGTCGCGAAGATGTCAGGGGTCAGGCCCGTCATGAAGCCCGAGTCATTGTGCCTTACCAGTGGCTGCTCAGTAGCTCGAAATCAGAGCCGCTAGGGTCTGTTCAGGCACGACTGAGAAGAAGACCAGCCAATCCATCCATCCTCGAAGACCCAGCAAGGCCCAATTAAGGGCCCAAATCGAGTACTCAACCGAAACCGAAACGAAACCGCCCTCCTCTGGCACGGCGGAGCCTTGAGCTGCGCCCGTTTCCTGCACCGCATGCAGCTTAACGCTCCTTCCAGCCGTCCCCTCCTCGAGCCTCTCCCTCTCTCCAGGCCAGGGGCCTTGGGGGGAAAGTAGTAGAGCAGCCGGCCTTTGCACTTCTCCGTCTCACCTGTCGAAACTCGCAGCTGTCCTGGAGCCCGAGACGGCCCAGGCTCCCGGCTCAGAGTCTTTCCAAGGTTGGCGGTGTAGCTTTGCACCTGATACCAAAGAATGCAATGTAACTGACTCAACTGACTGCCACTGGCACCCATAGTAATATAGTTTTGGCCAGTATCCCGAGTTTTCAGCATGCTCATCTGCAGTCCAGAAAGTGCTAGACTCCTTTGGCCCGGGTCTCACCGCCGAATGTTCTGCCTAATGCCAAATCCCCATGTGCTCCTGTGCTCCTGCTATTCCTCGGGGCATGTTCTAGATTTCTGAACTTCCAAAGTGCTGGCCAGCTCTGGCATCATGACAGCTGCAGCTGGAGACTACCCTCTTGAAGCTTGCCGTAAAGCGCAACAGGCAGGGAACCTTGCTGGCCATGACCCGATCGACTTGTTTTCCAAGCTGGCCGATCACCTGATCACGTGAGGGGAGGCACGGCACTCACAACGCCGCTCGACCGGCACCTCCTGCATTACGCGGCCCAAGGCTTTGCAGTGCATCTCCAGCTCCGGAATTTCCTGCAATGTGCCCAACTGCCAGCATTCATTGTCGCACGTAATTCCATGTCCTTTGGCCATAGATTCTTCGGCAAAGCCCACGGGAACTTTGCGCGATCCTCCTGGAAGGTGATGGACCGCATGCAAACATGATGCATTTAGGATAGTGGCCGGAGCCTCTGTGCCAGGAGCATCGGCCAAGGGGTTGAAATAGAACCTCGGGAGTGCGCTCAAAAAACTGACTGCAAGAGTGGAGAGCTGGGATGCAGCTGCGTTCTTGTCACGAAGCCTCCTGGGTTGCTAAGGTTTGTGCGACCCTTTCGCTAGGTCTGGTTTGTCTCCCAGCTTCTCTTTGCCGTGTGACCTGAGGGCACATGATGGCAACAACCGGAACTCAACGGCATTGTCTGCTTATGTGCGTGGCCAGCCAGCATTGTACATAGAGGCCTCGCAGAGGGCATTAAGCATCAGTACATAGCAGTACATGTGGAAACGACAGAGCTCTGCCTCATCCTCGATTGCTCGCAAGCTCTCGGGCGACAAGTGAGCGAGCTTGTGCGCTTGCCTAGGGCGCATCACAGTGTGGGGCTGCAGGCTTGCCGGGTCCTGGATGCTAGGAAACCTAGGTGGCCTGCTTCAGCACGGACATGTACAGCTCCTCTCGTTCCAATGTTCGCACTCTGGAAACTCGCTTCACGGATTCACGGCTTCTGTGTCCTCCCAGCGCGGGACTCCTCGCACCGCCACGACGCCCAGGCTGCCTGGTCCCCAGGCCTGGCAGCGTGGCAGCGGCGTGGTAGCAGGGTCTCTGAGATGTCCTGGAGTCTTCTACGGGCCTCGAGGAGTTGCGACCCGAGGTCCACACCCGCCACAAGATCGTCATACCTCGCGAGAGCTGAGCCACGTCAGTTTTGAGACCAAGCGTTCTAGGTTACTATTTTTTTTTGCGTAGGGCACGCGACGACAACCACTTCTCGAGGCATGGAGAGGACGAGTCGCCCGCTGCTCAGCACCCTCTTCGGGCTCGACCCAAGTCGAAAGAGTTCACAAAGCTCCAGACATCCCACGGTCTAAAGCTGGAGCCAAATGAGCCAAACGGCGAGACCCCGAGCTCATGTGTCAAGACCTCAAGAGCGCACCCGTGCCGAAACGCGCAGCACCTGAAGCATCCACAGCCTCAAGAGGCCCGTGGCGCCAGGCTGGACCTTTGACGATGTGCCGCCATCCCAGATCCTAAAATATCTGCCTGCATGGGTTGCAGGCCCACTCGTACGTCTCTACGCACGACAAGAGGACGTCGTAGACCTGCAGCTGAAGTGAATTCGTTCCCACCACACTTGTTGATCTCCCGCTGGGAGTGTCACACTGCTTCCCAGTACGACTTCCACGGGACATCACGTTTTTGTGGCTGGACACTAGCATACCGCCGCACCTCGTGCACGTCTTCAAGTAAACGCAACAGAAGCTCCTGCAAGAAATGCTGCAGTAAAGAAACTCGAAGACGGCGAATGCTGGTCTCCTTGTTTGCAATGCCTGGCATGGCGAACCCCAGCTTCGTGAGGGTCTCAAAGCATGCCTCCAAAATGTCACGCAAGACACTTCGGTTCTTGCATTTGGGGGTGGAACTGTGCGCAACCGCGAAACAAGCTGACGCCTCGTAGACATCGAACGAGTCGGGTGCACCACAGGAAATGATGACCGCCTCTGCACTTTCAAGCATCACAACAGACCACTAGTATCCCAACATGCGCTGGGATGCACGTTCGGCCACATTTGGATTCAAGCGTGCACTTGCTCGCCAGAACTTTTGCTTGCATCGTCAAAGCATCATTGCTGATCCCACATGACAATCAACTTGATTTTAGAGACTGCGCCACACTGTGCTGGGGTATGGCGAAACAGCAAGGATCAAAAAGCTCAACAGTATCATCTATGCATCCACGTTGAAAGCGGCGCAGGTGAGAGGACAGGCCTTTGACTTCTCAAAGCAGTACTGGTACGATTGCAGAAGCCAAGAGCTAGAAGCAACATCACAATCAATGATGGGTTATTGTGGCTAGAAGCTCAACCTCTATCAGAAGAAACCTAAAGGCCTGGAAAATGTCTCTGTACCTGATTCCATCAGGTCTACAGGAGAATTCTAGACTTTTCTTTTGCTGTGATGAGTAGGGGGAGAGTCATCTTGACACGAGACCCCCCGGTGGAACTGCCAGTGCGACAAATGCAAAACCCGACCGAGGTTCTCAGTTGAAAATAAGGGGTCGGGAGTGCCATGTGCCATGGTCCTGCAGGCACAAGTCCGGTCGACCATGCGAAGCGGCATTGCAATGGAAGTAGGTCCTCTGCGAGGTTATGTCTGCGCATTGGTTTTCGGTGATGGCGCGTCGGATGGCTCGGCTTTTTCGCCTTCATCGCCTTGAGGAGGTGCCGGTGCCGGGCCGGCAGGCGGCGCAGGCAGCGACTTGGCCTGGGCTTCCTTCTCTTCCTTCTGTGGCTTCGGGGGTGCCGGGGGCGCCTGCACCTTCGGGGGTGGTGGCAGAGGCCTGGAGGAGGGAGAACTCGGGGGTGGAGCTAAAGGAGGGCCGGAGTCGGCAGGCTTGGCCTTTGGTGCCTTCTGCATAGCTGGCAGTGGGGAAGCTTCTGCGCCCTCCTTAGCGGCCTGGTCTGCTGCTTCTGTCTCGGCTGGAAGAGCAGCGTCTGCGTCCTCCTGTTCCTTCTCAGATCCTTTCGGTTCTTTGCCGTCCTTGTCCTTGTCTTTCTCTTCCTCGACCTTTTCGGCTGTCTCTACTTTCTCCTCCTCCTCCCTGACCTCTGCAGAAGGGCCCTGGTCGGAGACCTCACCATCTGCAAGGGCAGTGGCGGACAATGCACCTGATCAAAGCAGGCAGCAGCTTTCAAGCCTTTCTGTCTCGGACCCCTGGCCAGGCCTTGGGGTGGCTCCAGATCCACATCCACGCTGTCGCTCTCTTCAGACTTTTGGCCTGGTGCGACAAGACAGCTTTGCGGAGTCGCGAGACAGTAGGAAACACTTTTCTGTAGACATGGATACGACCGAAACACACAGCTTTGCGAATGCCTGGCAGAGCTGGCGAAGACTTCGGCTGCCACCTAAGCAACGCTGTTGGATCTCTCCTTTGTCTGTTCGGTCGCACATCGTCCCTCGCATCATCTCACATCTCTGTGCCAGACTTCGGTGCGACAGCAGGCGGAGTCGGCGTTGGCTGCCCCGGCTTCAGGGGTGCTTGAAGCTGTGCCGGAGCCTGGGCTTTTGCCGGTGGCTTTGAAGCCGGGGGCCTCAGCAGCAGGAAGAAAAATTGTGTCGACCTGCACAGCCTGCGGCATTTGCTCAGATCTGCCCATGCCCAAACGAACTGCCGGTGTTTGCTCTTGCAAGAAAGTGACTGCGCGCCGCCCTTTGCAACCGCACCTTGCAGAAACATCCGCAGGATACTGGCACGAAAAACAAACAAGCAAGATGAGCTGACAAAGACGGCCATGGGAAGTGTCCGCTTGCCTTGGGCCACGTCGGCTTCCTGCGCAGCAAACCAGCCCTGCTACAATCACACGATTCGACCAAGTATGGAATTAGATTCGATCAATCGCTCCACTTCCGCAAGGCCCGCAAGGCTCTTCAGCAAGGAGCCCAGAATCTGCATGCATCATACAGCGTCCCTTGAAGGTCCTGACCACCTTCTGGGGTCTGCTGGGGGCCTCGAGAACCAGCTTGCCCCTATTTGCTGCTTGTCGATGCACACAGGCCGTGCATGGCCCTGCACTGAGCACAGAACCTACCTGTCGAGGCATCATCTGCCTCGACACGAGCAGGAGCCAGGCTTCCAGCTTCTCTGCAGCGTTTTAGGCTCACGGCCCCTCCAGGCGGCGACGAGCTTCGCCTGCGCAGTCTCTGCCCCCAGGGACCCGGCTCTTCTTGCGCCATGGAGCAGCCAGGGCACCTTGGTCGGAGAGACCGACCTGAATGGCGCTCTCATCCTGCCCAGGCATCCCAGGTAGCACCAGGTCTCTTCCGATGCGCTCGCCCCCTCGGACCTCTTGGGAGAGTTCAGACACGGAGGGGACTCTTTCGACCTGGGAACATTGCTCAGCGTGACTGTCGTATCAACAATCGAAGAAGGCCGCGGGCCGTAAAGTGCACGTTTTTCCTGTCCTTGGACAACTCTTGCACCATCCTGGCATCGGTCCACACGGTAGTCTTTGACTCTGCACAAAGATGCACGAACAGAGCGGCAGCCAGTCAGCCGCACGAAATTTCAATCTTGAAGAAGCCAGTCCTGACGGCAAACTTGTCATTCTGCGGGTTGTTGTCCCCACCTGATTGGCTTTGAACTCCCGCAGCGAACAGCCAAAGGAACGGGCTCAGCAGAATAAGTCTCCGGGGCTGCGCGCTGATGCTCACATCGTTCACCTCGAGGATGTGATCACCTGCCACAAGCAGAGAAAAGGTGCGGACTTGCGGTGTCGGTCACGCCTTGGGCTTGTCACGTAAATTCCTCTTGAACCCTTGATTCAGCTTCAAAACGATAGCGGTCCCTTCATGTCAGAAAGCTCCACCCTAGGTGCGGAGAAGTGAAGCGAAGCTACCGGAATTCTTCCCAGAGCACAATACAGGAATTCCAACAAAGGATCTGCATGGCACCCTCCCTTTTCGTATCTCTACCTTGGACACTGTGCCTGGCAAGACCCGGTAGGGCATCTGGCTCTGCTTGTTCCATGCGTCCACCTCGTATCAATCGCTCTGGTGCTCATGCTATAAAATAACACAAACTCTGGGTGCAAAACTCTGCCGCCCTCACTGACTTTGTAGACCAACAAGCCGCCTTCAGTCGAGGATGCTGTTCTGAGAAAAGCTCCGCTGCGAGCCCGCTTGCCCTCTTGGCTTGCACAGACAGGTCTCGGGATACGGCAGAAGTTTGCCTCTCGCTTGAGGACGACCTTGCAGGAGTCAGGGCTCACAGTCTCAGACACACTCTCTGTGTCCTTGGGGTCCTGGGCACGCAGCATCTATACCAAGACGCCCGGGCCCTTTGCGCGCTAGGACCACCTCCACTGCAGTATCAGGGCACTTCAAACCTGAATGAGTCTAGTGTTTGGTGTTGTGGGTGACAGACGTACACATGTCGTCTACCCAGGCAAGCACACGAACTTCTGACCAAAAGCCGCGCAAGGTGGTTCCGACGCCTGAAAACGAAGCGGCCCATTCCTGAGTAGTGCAGAGCATTCAAAATGTGCTGACGGAACAAGGAAGAGGAACCGAAATTCTCCTCTCGTCTTTCCTAAGTTCCACGCGTGCCATTTTCTTGGACGTCAATGCTCCCTATCAAATCACCTTTGGCACGCAAAGGTCACGAAACCCCTTGCTGGCTTCTCTCTGCAAATCCCATCGGCCCCGTACCTGGATCGTCGCCAGTTGTTCCGAGAGGTCGAGATTCAATAGGCACCCTCAGCGTGCTTGTGCATATCTTTCAAACGGCTGCCTACAAGACACAAAGCCACGAACACTTCGGGCAGCGGCAATGGTTTTGCTAAACCGGGGGGAGGTGCGGATGTTTTCCTGAGCCGTCCCAGGACCATGGAGACGTACCCATGTTACACCAAGGAATCACGTATTTGTCTAACTGTTAGCTGTCAACGAAACTCTTGCTCCAGTGGGAGAAGGTCGGCCGAGCCCCGCGCTCCAACACATCCTCCGTGGCCTGCTTATAACCCCCACCAATACCAAAACGAAAAGTCTTCGGCGACGCGGCCTCGTTGGGCGGGGCCTGGCTGATGGGAGGTCTGGGCATCCTGCTCAGGTGAGCCATTGGCGAGCGCAGCACAGAATCCGGCAACCTCGCTCTCCAGCCTGCTTGCGGCGCTTTCAGCGCCATGGCCCGCTAGCATATTTTGCATCTCATCCGCTGCACCAATACCCGCCTCCAAGAACGTCGCGCAGGCAGAGCATGGATGAATGGTCGCTTGGGCAGCTGCCAGCTGACCACGTGGACCCAAGTCGTCCTGCTTGTGACATGCACAAATTTGGCTCATCGCTGTTGATAACATCGACAGCGTGCCTGAGCCTGAGCTCGAGGTGCACTGGACTTGGGAACTTGCCTGAGATGCAATCAACAGCAAGCGCCACAATCGGGCGACAGTCTTCCGAGAGTGGGTGCAACGATCTTAGGAGTCTACTGTGGAAGTTGTGGCGGAGCTTTTGCAGGCGCCTTTGCACCAGCCGGCCTGGCAAAACACTACCAGTCACTACCGTCCCTCAGGCAAAAGTCAGGACTTGACATGGTGCCATCAGTTTAGCTGCCCACACTGCCGGGTTGTTGCCCCCTTGCCGCACGACGGCCAGGCGAATGTTACGGTGGCTTTGCAACTCCTGATCAGGATGTCGAACTGTATGAAGATCGTGGTCGCTTGTTGGTGGCGCACCTCCATCATCTTGGCATGGTCTCCAACTGCATTGAAGACGCGCGTGATTGCCTGACCGCATAAATCTGTAGCAATGCGCTATCGCGTCTTCCGTTCTCCAGGAGCAGGACGTCTCCACTTCGAACTTGGAAGGCGGAGCAGACGGACCTCGGGGTGGTTCCACTCCCAAAAGGCACATGGCTCATGCTCCGAGGCTGCTACTTGTTCCAAGCGTCCACAGCGCCCCCCTCAGACACTTCGTTCACCTGCGAAGACATGGCAAATCAGCGGAAGTCAAAAGGCAGCCTGCTTATCCATGTCTTGCCCAAAGTCAGGAGCACACCCACAGCACTGCGACGTCGTGCATGGTGACCGGAAGGACACTGAGGCCAAGCCTTACGACAAAGCAACTGAAATTCTGAAGGTACAAAAACACCGCCGCCGGGTCGCCTCATGCCTTCATGCCGCTGTAGATAAACCTGCAGACCCAGGAAACTAAAAGAACTGATTCACTCTGGACGAGAAAGATCGGTGACGCCGTGTGTCGCCTCGAATGTAAAGTGGCTGTTTGGATCCTGGCTCTGTGCCGGCGCTGTCTGAGCAGCGGCCGCAGCCGCTGCGGCGGCCGCTGCGGCCGGAGGCTGAGCCTGCCCAGGGCCCAGGAATTTGGGGGCCTTTGGGGGTGCTTCGCAGTGATTCGTAGATGTTGCGGCGGCCAGGCGGCAAGGGGCCTCTTCCTTGTTCTGCAGCTTGGTGGGCGCCGGATGCTGTGGAGGCTGTGACTGGGGAGTGATCATCGAGCGCATCATCGACTGCTGTGCCTGGAGCTTCAGTGATCCGCTTTGTTGACAGGGTCTTAGACCATCTGAGCCCCATGCCATGTTCGGGATATCTGGCCTGGGTGTTCTGGCCATGCCCGCCGAAAGACATCTCATGACTCATGGCTAAGTGTTTCAGGATCCTCCCCACAGCATCGTCTGTGACTTGAGACCCGCGGGGAGGTGA